AGGCTGATGTCATTGCTCTCAGAAGATCATAAACGTAAAGAGTCATCCTGTGAGAATCCCTGAAAATGACTTTAATGAATAATTTCAGAGACAGTTATGGCTTTGGATAATTACTGAGCAAGAATATGAAAACCAGATTTGCAAAGCGAAGGCGATGGTCAGGCGGCCCGGCGGCCACTTTCTCACATTAAAACCGCACCGCCTTTTCTTCACCGCCAAATTCTAGTTACAGACTTTGGATGCATTTTCTTCCTTAAAAGTAAAAGCGACAAACACACATTTTTCTTTTCCTGCGTTTCTGCCTTATCCTAAAGACAAAACTGTCAGCTCAAAGCAACAACAGCCCATTTTAAATAGAAGTCAATCATGCACTGGCTTCAGTGGCCATTGGCTTCCATCTTTTCAGGAAGAAGGTATTAACGGCCACTTTGATTTAGAATGATGTCTCTTTGGCTTCTTCTCGAGGCAATGTACCTAATAAAGGTTGAAAACTCTTTCCGCCCCCTAAGTAAGAAACTGTTTGTTTTTAAATCCTTTCAGCTGGTGAAGCAGCAAACAAGTGAACAGTGAATGTCCCCACTTCTTACAGAAAAATCTGCAGGTCTCCCTGACTCTAGTTCTTGTTCCGCATGATGATTTGGTTCTACAATAAGGAAAGATATTTTGAAATACTCCATGTGGTCACAGGGAAGCATCAGGTGGGGTCTGGCTGCTCATAATTAGTTGTTCATTAAATATATTATTTGAGAAAACTGGCTTATTGGGGAAGAGATGGCTGAGTACCCGATCTTTTACATGAACGGCTTAGCTGCTTGCAAGCCTATCTCCTTTGCTTGGAAATATAAACTGGGATTCTCTGGGAATGTGGCCCATATGGATTCATTCCATCTGATTCGAGTAGAAATTCATTTATGCTATATGCACAAAAGTACTGATAAAAAGCAATGTTTGCCTACATTGTTTTGAGCAATGCAGGTTTTTGTTGTTGTTACTTTTGAGTCTGTATCATTCAGAAAATTGCCTATTTGCCTGAGTAGACTCCATCATTAAGGAAGATCATGGAGAAGCCACTTACCAGCACTGTGGGAAACTACACTGTTCAGCTATTACCTGCCCCTCCCCCCTAAAAGCACAGTTAGGCCTCTCCTTCTCCAGTCATCAGATTCAGCTGTCTAAAGCCTTCTCTATTCCTAGCCCCCAAGCCCTCTCCACCACCCCAGCTCAATCTTTCCTTCCCCTTTTGCTGGGGATAAGGGTGGGTAAAAGAGGGAGTCCAGCTCTCTCAAATGTGACATTTTCACTGACTTAGGAGGAAATGGTCCTCATCCGTTCTAGATTATGTGAAGACACTTTGGAATTTGGAGTTTCGAGTTGCCTCAAAGAATCAAAGAGGGGCGAACATTTGGAAAATTTTCTCCATTGGATTTCCTGTTTATTTTTGATATCCCGGGCCCCCCAAATAGACCTTCTTGTCACTACATTCAGATCATGGGCCATGAATTCTTTGCCCTCTACCTAAGTTCACTGTAAACACTGGCTTGAGCTTTGCAACCTGTGTGGAAGTAAATAGCTTTTTCCGGGTTTGTTTTGAGTCCTTGCATTGCCCAATTAAATCGAGGTGTAGGACTGATTCATGGGATGGTCAGTTCTCTCCCTGTAGAGACTTTAAATAAGGCAGGCCTTGCCCTACCTCTCCCCCATCCTTGATGAAGCCATCCTCACCCCTAGGGTCCAGTGTTTCACAGTGGTGGTTGACAGAGTGCCAAGAATGTGGAATCAGCTGCAGTGGGTGTGTGTGGCCTCAGGCAGTGGTTCCTAAATCCTGGGGTGGGGGAGGGGAGAGCTTTTGGAAATTGAAGATTTCTTTTCTCCTACCCGACCTGCTGAATCAGGATTTCTCCTAAAGGTGGGGTGAAATGAGGGCTGAATTTATAATTTTATCAAGTTCTTCAGAGATTTTGGATAACCAGTGTGGTAAGCTCCAACCTAAAGTGTTCTGGAGTTGGATTCATCCCAGAGGTCAGGACAGTGCCCCAGGACGCCAAAGTCGGAGGTCTGGAGTGTTCTCCTCCTGTCGAGGAATTATACAAATATACCTAGCCTCTTTCTGCGCACTGAGATATAGTGGGGGACAAACGGATGCCAGTCATTCTTGTTTCAGCCAAGGAGCACTCCCACTGGGGAAAGGGGGAGGGTAGGCAGAAGAAGGTCTAGCGCCTCCGTTCCTTAGATCCATTGGGCTTTAATAACAGGTGCAAAGACAGAGGCTCGGAGAGAGGCCTGTTCTATAATAAGCGTCTGCCGGGCCACCTCATTAGGCAGAAACTCCCACTGTTGAGGCCCCAGGGCTGTGGGGGCCAAACGGGGGCCAGTGCGGGAAGAGCAGCACTAAGAGCCGCCTCCCTTGCCTCTCGCCTGCACGGGCACTGCGGCAAGGGCCGCAGCTGTTGGTGTAGGAGAGCAGCACCCTGGCGCTGGGCTAGAGGAGCGCCCGCAGGTCAGTCAGGGCCGGCTGTGGGAGGCTTTTCCAGGCTGAATGCACCAGGAGCAGCGAATTGGAAAATTTAAAGTGAGGAGGGGGCCAATAGAAACTTTAAGCGGCCTCGCCTTACCTCAAACAAGAAAAACAAAAACGTCTTCTGGGTTAAAAATACATATTTAGAAAGTCCCTGTGCGCAAGCAGGCGGCGCGTTCCAGCTGCCGGCCTGGCCCGGGGAGGACTTGGCCGCGCGGCCGCCGATTACACCCAGCTCGGCTGGGATGGCTCCGAGCCGTCTGCCCTGACGTCAGCGAGGCTCCGGGCCCCGCCGCGGCGAGATAGGCAGCGCGGCCGGGCGCGGGCGCGGCGCTAATCACTCCCAGATGTCCCTAATAGCGGAGATAAAGTCGGACGGAGCGGCCGGGAATAAATTTGTAATCAGGGCTCTACCATCTGATCATCAAAGCGGCCCAAATGCCAGGAGAATTTGAAGGGAATGTGTGTGTAGGGGGGTCACGTTTAGGGGAGAGGCGGGGGACGCGATCTTCGAAGGAAACTGACTTGGGCAGGGTGGAGCGAGAACAGGGAGAGAAGTCTAACTTCTGTGCGCGTGTAAGTCAGATACGCAGCGCACTTTAACTTCCACTAGCCTGACTGGCCGAAGCCGCTGAGCTGTTAAGGCCAGTTAGAGCCCGGCAGACAGTTGCGGTGCGGAGAGCACTCGCCGGGCAGAAGCTGGATGGCAAAGCTGCGCGCCCAGAGCTGCCCAGCCCCCGTGCGACTGTTTCCTCTCCTGGACTTACCCTCTCTCCCCTCCTCCCCTTTCTAAACAGTTAAAAAATACTTCGTTCTCCCACATCCCCACCCCCTCCCCGCCACCCCGTAGACGTGAACCCTACAGCAAGGCTGAGCTTCCTCAGGAAGGGGGGGTCCCTGGGCCCCGAGCAGGGGTCCTGGGCCCCAGTCTGAGGGCGGCTCCAAGGTCTTTCTCTTGGAGGGATCCGCGGGCTGCGACAGGCCAGGAGTCCAGTGCGTCGCGGAGACTTGTTAGTGCCACCTCCTCAAGCAGGGGTCTGGACCGTAGGAGTTGGGCCGGGTGGAGGGAAAGGGTTCCCTCAGGTCAACAGATCCAGGAAAGACAAGCAGAGCCTAGGGTTCAGGTTCGGCCCTTTACGACGCGTACGCCACAAGCCTCCTTTGCAGATCATCTCAGCTTGGCACCTACCACCAGTTCCTTTTCCAAATCCAGGCGCGTGGGTGGGACTCGCGCGCAGAGAGAACGAAAGGCGGCTGTGGAAGAGAAAATTGCGAGCCGCACACGCAGCGTTAGACACAGCATTTCTTTAAAGCTACAGGAATAGCCGAGAGGTTTCCCGCGCTTTGCAGACCCGCAGTGCAAATGCAGTTCCGGCTATTGTGGCATCCTCGGACCAATTTATTGTCCCCTGCACGCACACTTCAAGCGCTCGCAACTGGCCTGGGTTCTCTCTGCAAAGCTAAAGTCTCGGAAGTCGCTCACAAGTCTGTCTCCTTCCGCTCCCCGTGGCTTTGATTTTGAGCTCACTCTTACCCTAGGCACCCCTTCCAGCGAAATTGGCGTGCACACAACTCACCCTCCTGCTTCCTTAACAATCCGTGGGATACCAGCTCTGTGATCCTCACAGAGTAGAGGCATAGGCAAGGGGGAAGGGATCGAGCCACCCTCCACCCGCGACTCACGCACACTTGCTACCCTTCCTGGCGCCACCGCTGCCCCCACCTCATCGCGGGGACGACCAGGCCACCTGGTCCTGAGAAGGGCAGCCTAGGCCGGGAGGCCCACCCTTCCTAGGTGCCCGGACCTATTGGTTAGCCCACTCGGATGCTGGAGCTTCCCACCAAGCCTCCAGAGGGTGGGGAGGGATTTAGAAAGCAGGAAGAACCCCAAGTGATCTTGCTGTCTTCTTCTCATAGTTTCGACCTGAAAAAAGCTCTTAAAGCTGCCATTATGTCCCAGCTGGGGGGCGAAAATCCTGGAAAATTGTGACTGGGAGCAAGGAGTGTTCTCAGGTCCCGCTCTGTTGAGCTTTCTAGGTTACTTCCCAAGAAGCTGAGAATGGGTCTGTAGGAACGAACACACACACACACTCTCTCTCTCTCTCTCTCTCTCTCTCTCACACACACACACACACACACACACACACAGCGGCCGAACCCTCTCCCCGCCGGTGCTCCAGGGTTATCAGGCGCTCGGCCCGCGCCGCGGTCTGGGGCCGGGCCCTGACAGCCAGATCTACCATCAATTTACCTTCCGCCGCCCCAGCTTCCCATTTAGCTTTTAACGTCAAATCCTGCATTTTTGTCGGCTCCGGCCTGTCTAGAGAGCTTGTGATTTCGCTGCAGGAGTGATTGCTTTTAACAAAATGGCAGCAACCACATTATCCGAGCAATTAAAACAGAGGCCTTTTAGCCGATCCCGCAAGGCAAGAGGTTGGAAACTTTCTTTCTTTCTTTTTCTTTTTTTTTTTAAGCACAGAAGAAAGGGAGTTAAAAGAGAAATAAATGTGTAGAAGAGAAAAGCATGGAAGCTCAGAAGAAATGCCGGCCCAGCACACCACTCACTTCCCGGGACTTGACAAGGTGGGGCAGGGATGTTGGGTGGCTGGGAATGTTCGAAAGGTTGGGATGTCCCCGGTGACTGCAGAGACAGATAATCTGGGGGTATCTTGCCACTTAGGGTGTGCATCCAGTTAGGGGTCCAGCCCCTTGGGGTGTCAGGTCTGCTGGATGTCTGGCCAGTTGGGATTTCACACAGGTTGGAACGTCGAGATGGTTGAGGTGTCAGGGCTGGTGCTGCTGGGCCAGAGGAAGCAGCTCGGCAGGCAGGAGAGAAGGCGGGCAGCGCCTGGCCCAGGCCAGACAAAGAGGACGAATTTCTGCAGCGCGGGTTTTAAAGCATGTGTAGCAGCAAGTTGCCCCATAGCGATGCTGCTGCCAGACTCTTCTGGATCTCCTCTGCTGGTGTTTAACAAACCAGAGAAAGGGTTAGACCAGCAAAAGTGCACTAAGGCCCAGATGGTGAAGAAGACCAGCTACCCAAGGCAAGCACAGGCCCACATGCATGATGAAGGTAACTCCTCTTCAGTTCCTGGTTTAAAAACCACACCACCTCCACCACCACTCTCCACTATTTCAGTAAACTCTTTTCTTCTACCCCTGGGATATGAAGTCTTTCTCCCGATCAGATTAAAGGCAAGACGCAAAAGGCCGTTGGAGGCAGGAAAGGGAGAGAGCCACTCGGTCAAACCGACAGGAATCCCGAGAGTAATAGAAAATCAGGGCGCGCCTCCCTACGCCCCTCAGTGCTATAAACAAAGGCAAGTGTCTGTAAACACAGCCCGCGCCCACCACGTCGGCCCAGCGCCGCCTGACCCGAGGGGAGAAAGTTCAGATCGCTTTGGCCGAGTTGTTCTAACCCCTCGCCCTCGCGTTGTCAGCTGCCCGCAAAAGAAACCCGCAGAGCCACTCGCTCGTCTCTCCCCCAGCGCTTGCGAATTTGCCCGCTGCAGGCGGCAGGCTCAGAGTGGGCACCCGTGAGCCATAGGAACCCCTGAGATATCAGGGGAGGGTCTGTGCCTGGAGCCGAGGTGCGAACATCACCCTGAGGATGGGTTCCAAGATGGAAACCCTCTGGCAAGTCTCCGTAACACCAGATTTATATACGTGGCGTTTCATGAAACAAACCGCTTTTTAATACGTTTCACCTTTCTTCCTCCACCCCCCCACTCCTACTCTCCCCCCCCGCCTCCCCGGCCTGCCGAGTCCTTTATGGCACTTCAGTTTCTCTGGTTCCTAGAGCAGGGATTCCGGCTCTAGCCAAGACTACGGGCAAAGGAGGCCTCAGGGACTTCCTTTCGGGATGTGCTGGGACTCCAGAAGACCAAACCTCAGACGGGGTGACGTCCCCGGCGGCTGGTACCGGGGGAGGGAGCCGCTTGTTCGGCTGGCCTGGGGCCGGGAAGACTTCAGACACCGCACAGTTAATATTGAGTTCCCTGTAGCTCCTTGTAAATCTAGCCCCCCCCTCACCCCCCTTTAAATCCTCGGTCGTGTTCGCGATTTCTTACTTGATGTAAAATTCCTTGTTACCTAATCATGGACTTTTTTCCCCAAAAGCTCTCCCCTCCCCCAAGGCCCCACTCAGATGAGACTCACCCTGATGGAGACTACAAGCAAACAACTCCTCTTTTCCTCTTTTTTCTTTTCCCGGATGAAAGCCCTACATTTTGAATTAAAAACTGTGGACTATTTCCTGCGGCTGCAGTAACTCCTGGGATCCTCCTCCAATCTCCTCCACCTAAAACACGCTCCCCAAACAAAAACCAGTCCCCCACAGAATGGCATCTGGTTGATTTCGGGAAAACAAGAACACCTTTCCACCTTTCCAGCGAACTGCCAAGGCCTTTCTCTGGCCCCAGGTCCTCCTAATACGGACCACTCGGCCTAGTCTGGGGCTGCGGTAGGGAGGGCAGCGGGAAGGAGACAGGTCTCTGATAGAGCCCAGGTCCTTTAGCAGGATTTTCACCAAGGTCACCTCCCTATGAGGGCTGGAGCTCACGGTGAGGACTGATCGGAACTACTGACTCTTTCAAATAAAGTTAGAGGCAATCATGATAATTTAGTTTACTTCTGAATATTTTAAATATTATGAAAACAAGTATAACAGTTTTGTTTTCAAAACTCTTTTGAGGTATCAACCATTAAAAGATTGGGGTTTTTTTTTTTTGTAAAAAAAAAACACACAGTGGTTTATTGAATACTTACAACGTTTACACCTTCAATATTAATTAAATTCCACTTAGTTTTAGAGGACGGAAGTGCACAAAACAAGTAGCTGTTGGAAACATCTTCGAATAGGGAATGACCACAGATGATAAGACAGCACTAGATACCGACCCCAACGGAAATGTTAGCGGCCCCGTTTTCTGCTTTGAAATAAAACTTTATAATCCCCAGGAATATTTATATCCAAAGGCCAGGTATTAAAGATACACTTTACATACACACAATTGTCTGCTGTCTTTATCTGGAAGGGGTTGGGTAAGTGGGGAGGGGGCAACGCTGGTGCCTACACAGCCATGAGGGAACATTCACACACAGAGAATCTACGAGACGCTGGGATCCCTTACCACGCAGGAGTGTCCTCTTCATATTAAAATATGGAATGCTTTTCTTCAAATATCCACTTTTTTTTTTTGGAGGGGGGTGGGGAGCGGATGCCTCAAAGGGGGGGCAAAGAGAGGGGAGGCAAATTGCACATAAATAAACCGGATGATTCCAACTGCAAGAAGTCCTCAGAGCAGAGCGTGGAGAGCTTGCCCGGAGTCCTGGGTCGGCTTCCGGCTCCTGGGCCCTGGCTCACTCGCGCTCTCCTCCTCCTCCTCCTCCTCACTGCTTGAGCTCCAGGGCCCAGACGTGCTGCGGCCAGCCCGTCCGGCCTTTGGTTTTCTTGTCGTTGCTGCTCACTGTGCTTTTCAAGATTTCGTTCTGGGCAGAGGAGAGGTGAAGGGGAGAAAAGTGGAAAGAGAAATTCAGAAAGGAGACCTGGTTCCATGCGACCCCCGCACTTTTCAGGGGGGAAAGGAGACATGAGAGAACGAGCAAGGGATGAGAGAGTAGGACGGTTTCAAGTCTTCACCTCTGCAGAAAAGCTACAAAGATTTGCGCAGCCCTAGCTACTGCCCAGGCCTCCATGCCCCTGCAACGCTCAACTACCGGATAGGCAAACTTATAAACAACCAGCCGTTTCCAAGTCGTTCACGGAGGAGCCGGGGGCCTTTTCTCTGACTCCTGATGTAGGGGCGCGAGCGGGGGTCGGCACTAAATCTGGTTTCCCTGTTTTCAATCGCAATCCCAGGTTTGCACTGTAGGGAAGATGCGGATAAGTTCCCTGTGCCCTGGCCTGGGCTGGTGGGCAAGGGGCTCTCAGGCCCCCAACACGGCAGTGCCTCTCCTCCGAGGCGTCTGAAATCCCTAGTTATTCAGGAGGTCACTCGATTATGCACAGACAAAACGCCACAGGCCCCAAAGAAGAAAAATGAGATAAATGGGATTATTTTCCAGGCCCTTCATGGCAACAGTCCTGCTCTGACCACCACCAACCTATGGGCACTTGGTAGGAACTTAAGAAAACTAATCTTCAGTTATAGTTCCATGTTACTGTTAACAACAATAACAATGACCATATTAGTATTTACTGTTTGTCTTAAAATGCTCACACAAATAAAAAAGAAATACCCATGAAGTACACTAATCTGGGAAGTTACAGTTTAACCTCATCGCCAAAGAGAAACTGGAGGTGCATTTTGAAGTTAAAAGTACTTATTTTATGTTTACCTTTACGTCTTCTGAGCATTGTAATAATAACCACAAAACTCTCTTAAAATCAGTGGTGGCCTGGTTCTCCAGAGGGGGATAGGGATCAATCGTGAAATAATTGCTATCTAGCGCTTCTGGGCAATTATTTTAGAAATACCTGAAAGCAAGATAGGACTGGAGGCCAAATGAAGGCTCTAAGAGACATAGAATGATTGCGACAGTACAACTGGAAGATCAATGGGGACCCTGAGTCCGAAAAGAACGCCCGAAGTGCCGGTGGGAACAGCGATAACCCGGAGGGAAGATCACCAGCGCGAAGCATCCCTCTCAACCTTCTCCTCCTTCTGCTGCTGACATCCCCCCCACCCAATCTCCTCAGCTTCTTGGGGAAACCATTCTCTCCATAACCTGGTTTAAACAACCATGGCTTCGGATGCAGCCAAAGAACTAGGGATGTCATTGCTCAGCCCAATTGGAGAGAGTCCGGTAGCACCGTTCCCCCGAACCCCACACCCCCTCTGCCCCCTGCCCTCTGGTACTGACCAGCTCCTTCTTCCTCTTCTCTTCTTTCACATCTGTCTTCTTGATCTCCGCCTTGAAGGCCTCCGCCTCGCCGTTCTGGTCGTCCTTGGCCAGCAGGTCCATGAGGTAGGCGATGTAGCTGGTGGCCAGGCGCAGCGTCTTGATCTTGGAGAGTTTGGTGTCGGCGGGCACGTTGGGGATACACTCGCGCAGTTCGGCGAAGGCGCTGTTGATGCTCTGAGTCCTGCGCCGCTCCTTGCGGTTAGCGGTGCCCCGGCGCTTCACCGGGCGCGGCCCCCCTAGGCCCGGGGGCCCGGCGCCTGGCGGCACCCCCCCGTAATGGGAGTGGTCCAGGCCGGCGGCGCCGCTGGCGTACTCAGGGCTGTAGGACAGGGCCATGCTATAGTCGGGGGGCGACATCTCGGGGTGACCGATGAGCCAACCATGGAAGTAGGGGTTCTCCTCGTGGCTGCAGCGGCTGGCGGCGGCGGCAGCGGCGGCGGCGGCGGCGGCGGCGAACGGATAGCCCTCATGGTGCACCACCGGGTGGTGGGGGAAGCCCCCCACCAGACTCATATCGCCCTCCGCGCCCCTCCACGC